GGCGCCTGGGTGGCTCAGTTGGTTAAGCGACTGCCTTCGGCTCAGGTCATGATCCCGGAGTCCCGGGATCGAGTCCCGCATCGGGCTCCCTGCTTCTCCCTCTGACCCTCCCCCCTCTCATGCTCTCTCTCTATCTCATTCTCTCTCTCAAATAAAAAAAAAGAAAAAAAAGAAAAGAAAGTATTGCAAAGTCTATGTTGCTCTCTCCATTACACCATACATCTTTGGGGTAAGGAGAACCTCTTTCACATATTCAGATGGAAATCTTGCTTTTCATTCAACACATTTCAGTTTGCTGGCTTTAAAATAAGGCAGAGGGGTTCAACATTGTTACCTGGTTTCCCTGGAGGAAGGCAGGTACAGAGATAATGTTGTAAGTGATCATTTACTATTTTGTTAAAGGTCTAGAGACAGGGTATTATAGTGAGTGTATTCATGAAAGGATTTGTATTGGGGATGAACAGATATAGTCCAGCTTCTGATTTCAACTCTAAAGGAAAGGAACGTGTTTCTACAATGATGACAAAGTTGAGGAGGCCTGTGAACAGAACTAACCAGTGCAAACTAAAATATCAAAATACCTGCTTGTCAAACTGTGAGATAGCGAGGAACATCATCTAAAAAGGAGCCATAATTTGAAATAGACATCCTGGGCACCTGGGTGGCTCAGTTGGTTAAGCGACTGCCTTTGGCTCAGGTCGTGATCCTGGAGTCCCGGGATCGAGCCCCATGTCCGGCTCCCTGCTCATGGGGGTGCCTGCTTCTCCCTCTGGCCCTCCCCCTTTCTCATGCTCTCTCTCTCTCTCTCCCTCAAATAAATAAATAAAATCTTTTTTTAAAAAATAAATAAATAAAATAGACATCCTTTGGTAAAATGTCCACTTTGATAATGAACTTAATTATTTTCAAAATCTATGTTAAACTCAATCTTACTAGTCAATATTTGGAAATATTACACTCCTTCAAGACTAAGACTACAGGCATGGTCTCAAAATTTTTTGGAGTAATAGTGAGCTTAAGATCCTAACAAAAAAAAAAGATCTCTTTAAACCAGTATGATTCAAATCTTCAGTTTTGAGTGGACAAGTTTTAAAAAAATGAGGGGTGGAGAATGCTGTTAGCTAACATATTATCCCTGAGGTGGGGTTCAACTCTGCACCCCTCATTGCCCACATGCCCAGACCCGTTACAGGTGAAGTCCTCAAGAGTACTCCCAGCTTTAAAAATGTAAGAAAGATTTACTATGTATCAGAGTCCACTTGGAGGAGGATAGGTTGTGGAGACACTAGAGTATCATGTAGAGTATCAAAAAACAGTAGTCCATTTACATTTAAAAAGGGAGAGAAAAAAAATCCAAGACATGCTAGGCAAGCAGGAAAATATTTTACAATGACATGTGTGGTTTACATGACTATTCTGGGAAGGGCTGTCTAAATATTGATGAACAATAGCTCTCACCGTGTCTTTCTGTCTCTATAACCCTTGAACAATTCATTAATCTAGCTAATATTATTAGCAGTGGCAAAATGTCTATTCAAAGTCAATAATTAAATTAAACATTCTCCTTCATGTACAATGAGCCACTGTAATGAGCAAATCAAGCAGATGTCTATATGCTTTTTTCCAAAGATTCCCAAGTCTCCCTATACATATATAAACTCTATGTGGGATCTGAACCTAACACACACACACACACACATGCACACCTCAAACAAAAAGGAATTTCTTAGGTAATAATTGGTGAAATAGAACTTCAAGACTTTGTCTGCCCCCCTAGCCTTTTAAGTTCCATTCCCTAACCCTTCTCTCCCCCGCTCAGAAGCCTTTTTTCCTGACTTTTCCTACTTCTCCCAATAGAGCTCTTCTCAGAAAAGGATTTCCTTTGATTTGTAGTTTATATCACTGACAAGGCTTCAAGTGTTATCTTCCAGAAGCGAGGCTTTTTAATGAGGATAGAGTATCAGAACATCAGTGAGCAGTATACTGGGTATCACACCTTTGCCTAAGGGAACTTTTCTTAATAAGTGGTCCATGAGCCTTGCATCAAATCACCCAACAACTTACAAAAATGCATATTCTCTTTGCTCCACTGTAGAGTTTTTCATTCATTAGGTCTGGGGTGAGTCTCAGTGTTTCTGAAGTACACTAAAGTTTGAGAACTAAGGGCTTAAGGGTTAAGAGTATGGAGTTTGCCATCAGCAAATGTGACTCCACTTCATTAATTGTGTGATACTGAGCGAGTTAATCTTCATGATATATGTTTTGCTCATTTATAAGATCAGATAATAATACCTCCTTTAGAGGGCTGTTGTGATGAGACAATGTATGTCAAATGCCAAATCCATCAGAACTCTTTCAGTTGTGAATGAATGAAAACCTAATTAGCTCACATAACTGAAAATTCTGGAAGGAGGAAGATCTGGCTTCAGGGCGTACTTGATCCATAACTCAGTAAGACCTTTTTTTTTTTTTTCTTTTCTCGTCTCTGACTTTTGCCATGTTGACTCCATTCTCAGATAGGCTATTCCTTTGTAATTACAAGA